AGGAGAAGTTGAGATCGAGTGAGTTTAGGAAAGTCGAGAGGTTTGAACAAAAGAGGGGTTTCACTATAGAGCGAGGAGTACAAATAGGCAAGAAGAAAGGTGCACCACCAAACAGAACATTATATAACTACAGTAGTCTACACTACAGGCAGTTACAAAAAAACAATATATAGAAATATATATTATTCTTGACACGCCCCCATAAGTGCCTGTAGGGAAGAATATGCAGTCAACGCCCCCATAATGGGGTACACCAGACAGGCCGCAGCGGAAATCATAGCAACAGGCAAGTGCAGTGGCAACCGGTGCAGTGATGGCAGATCCAGCTGTACCAACCCCTTTACCAAGGTAAAAAAAAAAAAAAGGTAGCAGGTGTTGGGGCGGCAGGTCGCCTGAGGAGCAGGCTCTGTGGCTGCAACATGCAGCAGGACAGCAGCGGCTCGACGGCAGCACCTGCAGACCCCAGCAGTAGGTAGCAAAAGCAAAGGTAGCAAAAGGCAGGTGGTAGCAGGGGCGGCAGCTGGAGGTGCCACGGGAGCAACGGGCGTCAGCAGCAGATACCCGGCTGTCTTCCGCCTCCCCCTCACCCTTCCCCCCACAGCGGCACATGCGGCAGTGAGAGAGAGAGGAGGGGCGGCAGCTTCTTGCTTACACCCGCCACCCCAAATCCTCCCCCCCCCACTGCCGCACGCGCAGCAGGGAGAGAGAAGGGACTGCGTGCGGCGGCGTAGCGGTGTGGCGCAGCAGCGAACAGAGTGTCGTCAACCACCCTCGCGCCTCCCCCTCCCCCCCCCCCCCCCCCCCACACCGTCGTCCACAGCGAAAGACATGGCAGTGGGCGTGGTTGGCGTTGGCGAGATCGCGGGTAAGGGGGGGGAGTAACGGGGGGGTACAACAGGTGCCGCGACGAGCGCCTTCGCACAGCTCGCCGTCGCTTGCGGGGCAGGGGGCGCATTTGGCGATTGAAGCAGCTCGGCCGCCACACCCGCCGTCTCCCCCCAAAGCGACCGTCGATGCAGACGCTCGGGGCCGCGACAGGGCGTGACGAGGCTGCAGTACGGCGCGATGGGCAGGCGACGGGGCCGACGACTGGGGCCGTGAAAAATAAACAGCGCCAAGTGCGCCACGCTCAACTTCGCAACATTCGCGACGAGCGGTTGAACGGGCACAGCTGGGGCCGCGACGAGCGCCATGGCAGGAGCGTGATGCGGTGGGCCCATGGGAAAAAAAAATAGGTCCTAGGATAGGAACCACTCTGATAACATGTCAAAATCCCAGCCACTAGATCACTGGGATAAAAGGGCTTGTTTCAGTAGCGGGTCAGTGCGCCCATAACCCCCCAGGCAAACGCGCCTGTAACCCCCCCTAGGATCGATCGGGGATCTCACAGTGTAGCTCTACTGACACCGCATTAGCAAGCGCGGACGCAAGCTCGTCAGAGCCCACGACCGCGACCCCACCAACCCCCGACTCCTGGCGTTTCTTCAGCCGTGCGTTCTCTTCGGCCAGCGCTGCAAGCCTGCATTCGAGCTGCAGGATCTCAGCAGCAAGCTTATGCGATGGCAACGAGGACAGGGACGCGTGATCACGCGGACCTGTCACGGGACTCTTGCCCGCGACCTCACCACTCGGGCCCGCGCTTCCAGCACCGGGGGCCAAGTGCTGCGCGAGGTGCTTGATGCTCTTGCCGGATGTAGTGGGCCTGCTGGATGCCGCGGCCGCTACCACATGTGCCTCCGCCTCCTCCTCGCTCGACTCCTCCCCCTCACGCGCAACAGCGAGGTCAGCCTCATCGCGGGTTGCACCCTTCGTCGCGGTATCCTCGGCCCCTTCGTCATCAACGTGGACCACCGTCCCCCCCCGAGCACCTCCGCGGTTCGAAACACCAGCGGCACCTGTGAGAGCGAGAACACCATGGTCAGCAACCTGCGCACCCGTAGCCACTTTCTGCACCTTCCCCGTTTCAGCATCTTCAGCCTCACCGCCTTGCATGGGTCGCGTCATATCCACGCTCAAGTTAAACGCGAGCTCTTCGGCGATTTGGTACGCCTCATGCCGCAGTGCATTCAGAGTCTTCGCGGTTGGCCGCGAGAATTGCGGCCCGGATCCACTGGCAGCGACCGCGTCCAACTGGGCAATGATCTTGTCGAACGCGAACAGACAAGCGATGTTGCCGCAGGAGCCGCGGAATGACGTCGCGTCCTGGAAAACATTACATGGGGTTTGTTAGCACCACTGCAACTATTGGCGGTCATCGAGAACACGTACACAACACAGACGTACCAGATCCAACAGACGCTCGGGATCCTTAAGCTGGCGGGAGCGGGTGCACTGAATGGAGCCGCGCGCAAAATCCTCGTCGACGCGACCCTGAAACCACCTGCCCAAAAGCACATACATATCCACGCGAGCGCACGGTTAGCGACATGAGCCCCGGAGCGAAAATGAACGTGGTACTGATGATAAACCAGTACGCGGTACTCACTCCACAATCGCATCAGCCGCGGTGACGTGTTCCGCACCACCAGTGGGAATAGCAACGCGAACAAACCGTGTGTTCCATGTCTCGTCACCGTCAAGCGACAAGTGGTCGGGGTGTAGCATAATGAGCATGCTCGCGTTCGAGCTCTTCTTGTCGACCAGGTCCCTGAACGTGCCATTGACGACCGCGTTAAACCACTTAAACGAGTGCAATCCCTGTACAAGTGAACACTCTCAATGAAAACTCACTCGGACCAGATGCAGAAAACCACCAGGCTGCACTCCATCAAACCGGCAAAGGCATGGACCGCTTCATCGTGACCCGCGACTATGTCCGCGACAACACCGCTCGTCACTATTCGGACGTGCTCATGCACCTCCTTCTCCAGATTCCTCCGGACAATCACGCTGTGCGGGACGGTGTAAAACAAGGCGGGGAAAAGCTCAAACATTAACAACGCGACCTAAAAGCACAGCGGAGGTATGCCGCGGCCTGCACTGCCCACTAGTAACTATCGCTGACATGTCGCGAACAGCCTAAACACGCGACCATAAACAACGCGTGCATATAAGAGTCAGGGAATGGAACGCATGGATCTCACCCGGTAACAAAGTCGAACAGACGGGCCGTGAGAGGATGCTTATCCTCTGCGAGCAGCCTCCACTGTTCAGGGGGGGGGGTCCACCGTGGCTCCCGCAACAGAGATGATGGCCGGACAGGAGGCGGCCTCCTTCGACCCAGCTCTAAGCGCCTTCATTTCGCGGTTCATTACTGGTACGACCGCAAAAGCGCGACCAAAGGACGAAACGTACGCGAAACAGTGCTCGCGTGTATCTAGGACGAACGGTTCGCGAAACTGTGCTCGCGGCAGAAAATAAGAGCTACGCTAGACGCTACCAAGCGCGAACGCGGCCAAGCAGAGTCTCTGCTAGCACTAGGCGACGAGGACCTCTACGTGGAACGGGCGAGCAGGAAGAAAACAAGATGTGAAGACGGAGAACGAAAATGAGCACCAGGTGCCCGTACCGAGAACCTAAGAGTGGGCCGAGATGGAAACAAGAGACGGCACTCGCTGTCGCACTGCGCGGGCCTCTCACCCAGCGGGGAGGTTCCGCAACATGCACGCTTGTGCATCCAACGTCCGCCACGTTGCACACCATCCGCAAGCCCCGTTCGGAGCGGGCTGCCAACTCCCGCGGAGAGATAATTCTCCTCGTCGCGACCGCCGAGGTCCGAGGCAACGATCGGGTACACCAATTAGGGTCACCCGAATTAACAGTACACTCTGTTATATTACACGTAAACTCGCAACTGAATGTTTCCCCGATGCATTAGAGAGATTCATAAAGTAAAAATTAAGATTTATTTCGTTTGATCTTTCCGTTTGATCTTTCGAATGGCGTACACTCCGCTCCGTACATTTAATCTTTCCGCGAACGATTGTTCGCGAGGGTCCTGCGAGCATTCCGACGCTCGTAAACGACGGCGATTGGCCGGCTCCATTTCGTGCAGCACGGAGATGGCGTAAACCGGCTCCCATTGGCCGAATCCGTTTCGGCCAGCCCGAACTGCCATTCGCACGCGCGGATTCGCATGCGAAATGCTTCGCGAGGGTTCTTCCGAGGGACGGACCAGTCGGAAACGGCTCCGATTGGCCGGATCCGTCTCGGCGCGCCGGGGTGGGGGCCCTGGTGGGTTCGAAGCCACTAGGGCCCGGATGGACTGTCGATGGCGCGTATTGCTGTTGTAGGGTTTTGGCATCCACCGAGGTTTGGATGATGGATGGAATATGTTTGGCACGGATGGACCTAGGGCAGGCTGGAACTTGTTAGGAGCCGTGGCATTTAGTATTTATTCTCTTCTCGCCGGACGAAATTTTGCTGCGTGACGTGCGGGACGGCGTTGGTTGGGATGGTCCAGTCCAGAAATTTGTGCGTGATTGAACAAGCAGCTATTCAGCTGCCCTCGCAACCGGTTTTGCTGCTCGCAATCCGTGCTGGGCAGCTGAAAATGCAAGGGATGCTTGACAAAAAAATTGCGCGAGCCAATAGCAGTGAAGGTCGTTTCTGTTATCGTGGCACAGCCAGCTATCACAACCTTATCAACAACCTCAATCATCCACCTCACATTCTTCCATCTCCCGCACCTCATTCTTCGAACCCTCGTTGCCTAGTTATGCTCGTCAAGGGTGGCTTGGAGTACCTAAAGTTAGTTTCGTCAGATTGAGGCACCTTGGATTAGTTTCGCGTCGCATTCGTCAGATCTACTCGGCAATAGGTTAGCCTTTCGTCTTGATCCTAAAGCCGCGACTTAAATGTCAGTCTAATGACAGTCGCGCTATCCGTGGTCCTTCACACGTCTGCTACCGTAACTATCATTCATATCCGGTTTTTTTGTGGCGTGTTGTAAGTTGCGCGATTCAGGCGTTTGACTGGTAGTCACTAGTTGTTTATACTTGACGTTGTTTGGATAAGATAGCGATCTCAGTTTGCGGACTCATTCTCAGTATTTATTTCAGATGCTTGTTAGCGTCGCTTCAGTGCGTCGCCTGGGTCCGTTAGGCAGGCGGGGGAAGCCTCAGGATGGCGCGTTTCTGGAAAGCCTCAGGATCGCGTTTGCACACGATGGTTGGGGGAGAAAGAGGGGAGGCGAAGGTAGCGGGAATGAGATGGTCAGAACCTGGCGGGAGGCCCTTTTCCCGTGGCGAGAGACGACGCTGTGGCGAGCGGTAACGCTGAGGCTCCTCGTCGAACCCCCTTCTTCGTTTTGCACCTCGTGACAGAAGACTGGTGAGAGGCAACGTGGCGGACCCCCTTCTTTCCCCGTCCCCCCCCCCCCTTCCCCTCCCCTTCCCCTCCCCTCGCTTTCTCCCCAACCCTCCCCTTCCCCTCCCTCCCCCATTTCCTTCCCCTTCTCTCTCGTCCCCACCCCCCGTTCTCCGCTCATCCTCCCCCCCTCCCGCTCCCCCCTCATCTCCCCCTTCCTCCCCCTCTCCACTAATCTCCCAGCATTCGAGGGTTTCGACATTTCGACATTCGAGGGTCCCTCCCCCTCCCCCATTCCCCCTTTGACTCGAAGGTCTTCCTCAGCACGTCTGAGGGTTTCGCTCCCATGCCCGTGTCTTCGCATTTCTGCCTGCGCTTCCCCCCATCGGCGCAGGTCCCCGCGCTCCCCGCGCACAAGCTCACGCGCAACCTGATGTCGCGCAAGCAGAAGGGCGCCACGCGCATCTACGGCGGCGCCATCTGCGGGAAATCCGTGCGCGAGAGGTGAGGCGCGGGGAGCATGGTGGGGAAGAGGGAGCGAAGGGGGGAAGGGGAGGGAAGGGCAGGGAAAGGAGGGAAATGGTGGGGAAGGGAGAGAAGGGGGGAAGGGGAGGGAAGGGGAGGGGAAGGAGGGAAATGAAAGGGGAGGGAAGGAGGGAAGGAGGGGAAGTGGAGGGAAGGGGAGGGGAAGGGGGGAAGGGGAGGGAAGGGGAGGGGAAGGAGGGGAAGGGTCGCACGGGGTAAGACAGAAGAGGATAGGCGCGGGGTGCTCGGGGTGCGAGAAATGATGCGGGTGAAAGAGGTGTCAGCGAGCGAAGGGCGGAATGCATAAGGATGCAGAAGGGGAGGGGTAAGGCGGCGAAGGGTGAAGGATCAGAAAGGGGAAGTGGAAGGATGGCGGAAGGAAGGTGGAGGAAAGGGGGAGCAAGGGTGAGGAAGCTGATGCAAAGGGCAAATGAAGCTCACTGCTAGCACTCGTTTGCCTCACTGTCTCATCACCCTTTTCCTGCCAACGTTGTTCTGCCCTGAGCCCACGGTCTGTCCTTCCATTTACGCACCTCCTCCTCCCCCCACCCCAATTCACCTCTGCCCTATTCCCTCCCCCCGTTACCCCCCTCCAACGCCATAATCCGCCGTTTCCCACTCTTCCCTTCTCCATTCATTCTCGTCTGCCCATCACCACTCTTGCGACTCTCTTCACCGTTTCTCTCCGCCTCCCTCGCTGCATGCCCTTCCTCAGAATCATCACCGTTTCTCCTCATCCCTCGCTACTCCTGGTGGAGGAGCAGAAGATCGTAAAGAAGGTGCTCAAGCATGTTTTTAGACATCTCAATTCAAGACACGGATACCGTACTGAAGAAGAAGGTGCGCAAGCTGCACAAGTCCAAGGAGAAGATCGCCTCCAAGGTCATCAAGACTGTGGGGTTGCAGTGATGCACACAGCATGGGATGGGATGGGAGGGAGAAGATCGCCTCCAGGGTGCTTAAACCCCCCAGCTGCCAGCTGAGATGAATGAAACCGCTCACACCGCCAATACCATCTGAACTGCCTGCTGTCTGATCTGCCTGAACGGGTTTGAATTGAAGTGCCTGGTCTGCCTGAGCTGCCTGAGCTGACCTAGGGGCTGTCTAAGCTCCTGCAACAGGCGCACAGGGACACAGTGGGATGCTGCAGGGAATGCCAGGCAGGCAGCAATTTTGGTATTATTGGTGGCAGCAATTTTGGTATTATTGGTTGGTGTGCCAGTGTCCATTATCCATTGGATGTATGGTTAGCAGTAAGCATGTACAACAATTTTTGTAAAACCTGTGCTGTCAGAGGTTGCAGTCCCAGGAGGAATTCAGCAGGGCATTGCAGCAGTGGCAGTATCAGCAACAGCAGCATGTACGGTACCGTATCGCCCCGGATATAACCGCAGGCCTGTGTTAAGCGCATGCGCTTCTATCTGGAGCAATGCGCTTATGGCCGATCCTCAATTAGAAGCGCACCCTCTAAAATAACCTTACTTATTATAAGCGCACTCTTGATGTATAGACAAGAATGTCTGTTGTTTTTTTCACTTTCTTTACAACCTTCGTAGTAACTACATTACTCTAGCTAAAAAATTCAACTAAAACTTTCAAGTCAAATACATTAGACTAGCATCCTAGCCTACACAACATTTTTAAGTTTAGTCTAGCCTAAGGCCTACTCCTCATCCGACTCAGGCTCCGTGGAGTTGTTGCCAAAGAACCCGTCTGCTTGGATGTCGTCATCAACCTCTATCTCGTGGGATAGCTGACCTCTCCGGTGCGCCAGCACCAGTCCGTCTTCACTCCCGTCAAGGGCATTGCTGATGCCGCAGGTGAGGAACGCTCTCTTAATGAGGTCGGCGGGCACAGCTTTCCACGCCCGTGAAATCCACTTGAGCACCACCTCCGGAGATGGTTTCTTAATGTTCCATGCACCACATACACGGGGGTGGGAAACACGTGGGTCCACAAGTAGGCAGACATACAGACGAAGCGGTCACGGGAGAACACTTTTGCGTACCTGCGGGTGTCAGGATGTTCATGCCGTCCTGCTCGAACCAGGTCTGGTACTGCTGCCGAACACTCGCCTTGAAGCTTTTGTTGACCGACACATCGAGCGGCTGCAAGTCTGCCGTGCATCCCGCTGGGATGACCGCCGGCACGATGTTGAGTTCCGCGAACTTCGCCTTGACTTCGGGTGTCAGGTGTCCACGATAGAAGTCGAGCACTAGCATGGCGCTCCGGCTCTGCAATCCGAACTTCGGTTTCAGGAACGGCACCACGCCTGCACCGAGCCACTCGATTACGCCCGAGGCCTCCATCCACCCGTTACAGTAGCTTGGCAACCGACCATGACATCTGCATACAAGCAAGCGGTGGTTAGATTTTGCTTTTGTTTTTCCCCTCGAAAACAAGCGCATACGCAGTTTCTTACCGTTCGGAAAGTCACCCTTTGGGAGGGTCTTGCGCTTGAAAAACACCCACGGCTTCAACTTCTCGCCCGTCGCCGTGCACGCCAGCATCACAGTGACTCTCTCTTTCTGGTAACCACTACTGCGGATGGGCACCGACTTCACGCCCGTCTGCTCCACCGTGGTAGTCGCCGGCATCTCCAGCCACAAAGGCGTCTGGTCGGCATTGATGATGTAACGATTGTCGATGTCGTAGTCGTGGCGTGCGTCGCGGACAAACTGCCAAAATTCCTTGCACTGCTTGGCCACGTCTGCGCATGGGGAGGGAGGAACGGTTACAAGGGCGGATGAGCACCGCTACAGATGAACAAACATGGGCAAGAAAGTACTGAAATGCAAGATAAAATTTCACGATAGGATGACAGTGCACGGACAGGCACTTACGCTGCTGTGTCTTTTGCGCCGCCTTTGTTTTCATGCGCACGGTGAGATTCCACCGCTTGCGGAACCGCTCCGTCCAGCGCTGACTCGCCTTCCACTTGACGTCCGGGAACAACACCTTCATCACCTCTTTTGACCACTCTTGCAGCCGGCCGACTGATACTGCCACATCGCGGCATCGCCAGTCCAGGAGTTGGGCGTACACCTTCATCTCCATGGGTCTGTACCAGGAAGACCTTCCGCGCCCATGAAGTCGACACCGAGCACTGTGTGCAGCCTTGAGCTCCTCCGCTTGGTTTTTCCACTCTGTGAGGCATTTGCGGTGTATGCCGGACTCCCGCGCGACCTCGCTTACCGATGCAGCAAGCTCCAGCCGAACAAGCCACTTCAGTTTCTCCTGGGCGGTGTAGCGCTGCCGTTTGTGTTGAGTCGGCTTGTGCCTGGGAGAGGGGGGGCGGGCATCTCGGTTCTCAGAGGAGGGGTGGGGTCGTTTTTTGTTAATCGACGGATACGTTGGTATCGGCATCTTCTCGCGTGGTGCGTCGCGCCACCAAGACTCCACACCGTCATCGTCCGCGTCTGTAGGTTCACGATCTGGGAACACGTCCTCCTCGGCGCCCTCTTCACCGTCGACTCCACCGTCGCCTCCAGCATCGCCGTCGCATGTGGGTTGTTTATCGACGGCCACGTCATCGTCGGCGCCCACAGCCGACTCGTCCCACGTGCAGGCTTCAGGATTTCCCCACCGAGGTGCAGTCGGCGGACCATTGATTTGCCTAGCCTTGGGTGTGTCCGGTTCAGACAACCACTCGTCGAAAGTGGCAGGCAAATATAACTGGAGCACGGGCCGATGGTGACCCCACGCGTCAGGAATAGGAGGAGTCGGAGGATTCGAAGGAGCGGGAGGAGCAGGAGGAGCAGGAGGTGCAGGAGGAGCAGGCGGAGCAGGCGGTGCAGGGGGTGTAGGTGGCACTGGAGGCGCTGGTGGCTCACGTGTATACCACCCGTCCGAGGCTAGTCGCCAGGCGCGGGTTGGTTTCTTCTTGAAAAGGAGGTGCGTCCCACTGAATTCCGCCATGGCTTTGCCAGCCAGGCGGGCTAGACTAGAAACTGAATGAAAAAAATGAGGGTGGTGCAGAAATGGGCAACGACGGGGACCCCTGCGGCTAGCGGCTCAGGGTCCTCGTCAATGCCAGGCAGGAAACCCCCGCCTACCCCCGTAGAGGAACCTGCGTGGCAGCATATTCGCTGCGCTGGCAGCAGGGACGTCGCTAGCAGAAATTTTTTGTCTGTTTGTCCTATATTGGAGGGTAACTTTTTGATTTAATCTGATAATTCAGAAATCAGGACTTAGTGAAATCTGTTCATTCAGAAATGCTTTTTTGCTATATCAGACCCATCAGAAACGTTTTCCATGTTCCTCTGATACATCAGGAGTACTTTCGGGTTTAGTCTGTTATCGAATCTTTCTACCCTTAGGCGTGATTCACGCGTGAGCAAGGCGTGGTGTGGGTGTTTTGCCGTGATTACCGGAGTGTATGCATCATGCACGCCGCCCCCCGTGTTCCCACGTGTTTCTATCGTACGTGGCCTGCCACAAGTGTGGGATTGGCTAGTTTAGTACAACAGTCATCAATCCAGCACCACAAACCCACAATTTCGGCGCCTGCCGAAGGTTCGGGAAGCGCGGTTTGGGTTCACCACAGTCAAGTGGTGCCACCCACAGTTTTCGGGAGCCATGCGCGGTTCGTCAACAGGGCTCTGTGGTCGGGCGTTGGGGTTTCGGGGGGGTCCTTCTTCTCCAGCCTCCTCTTGCAAACGCCCTACCTAGCCATTTTCACAGCGATTGCAGACGGTTATCGCCTTAGTCACGTAAGTCCGCCCTCTCGCCATGGCGGACGACACGGAAACTGCCGAATCACCCACCCCACGGCCCAAACCACCTGTCACGGGCCTCGATTTCCTACGCCGTTCCCAGCCAGCCGCCGTGTTAGGCGCCTCTTCGCCGACACGCGTACCACCGTCTTCTTCCCCGAATCGGCAGGATGTCGCTCCTGTAGACTGGCCTGCTGTTAATGCTAGACGGGCTTTCAGTAGCACACCGCCTGTCTCCCCTAGTACCTCTGCACGGATTAGAGCTAATCCTAGATCGCAAGCGGCGCCTAGCACTTCACGTGGTACTGCCGTGGGACGATTCTCAAAGGCAGGCCGATATACCCAGAGCACGCTGCGTATTGCAAAGACGGGGGTTCCTCACGTCCGCATCGTGTCAGGACCCACGCCAGAGCCTAGAGTTGAGGCTGCTGCTGCATCAACAGCACCAGCAGCTCATCCCACAGGTGATCCTGGGCCTTCCAGGAGCACCATCCACGTCCCTGATCCAGACGCGCTTATGGAGAAGCTCCACGAGCTGTCCAAGGAATTTTGGCGCGACAAATTCAAGTGGCTGATTATCACGCAGAGGAAGGACGGGACGCCGTGCATGAAGTGCAGTATATGCATGGCTCACGGTCCAGCCCACTGGAAGTTTGGTAAATACGGCGAAGGTGGCGTTGATATCCAACGGCAAACAATGCGGAAGCACGCGCTCAGCCTCAAGCATCAAGACGCAGTCAAAGCCAAGCTTCGCGCCGAAGGCGGTAAGGTTGCACAGAGGGGCATTGAGCAGTTCGAAAACGACGACAACGAGACTTCTCGGTTGAAACAACTGATGCTGGTCGTGCTATTTATCTGCAAATCCGATTCCCCCATCTCCCTGTTTATTGATCTTGTTCGCCTGTTGGGTGAGCTTCAGACGCCGCACATCCCGGACAAGTCCATAGGGACATACCAGTCAGCGTGAGTGAAATTCTTTCTTGGTTTGTGTTTTTATTGTCACTACGACTAATACCACCTTCACTGTGTTGTGCAGGTACGGCTTCCGTGAAATTACCGAAGCGATCGTCACCAACCTGAGGCAGCAGCAGATGCGCCACATCCAGGCGTCTCCGTTCTTAGGAATTCAACTCGACGAGAGTACCGACCGGCGCAGAGGCAAGCACATGATAGTCTATCTTAGCTTCATTCGCGACGCCGAGGTCGTCACCGAGCTGTTTGGGCACCTGACAGTCGAGAAGTGCGACGCGTCGTCTCTGCTGACAGTACTTCTCGCCCATTTGGCCGTGACGGGCGTCGACATCATGAAACTGACGGGCATCAGTACGGATGGCGCGAGCGTGATGCGGGGTTCACAGGCTGGAGTGGCGACCCAGCTGAAACTGCGAGTCCCACACCTGGTGACGTGCCACTGCATCGCTCACAGGTGCGATGACAAAATCTCTCTGGCAGTGGTGTATGATCTTGTTGTCAAACGTTTTTCAGTGTTCTAACCGCTTCTTTTTGCACACTTGCAGGGAGGCTCTCGCCGCGAAGGACGCGGCGGAGGCGGTGCCCGACCTCAGCATGGTCGACACGGTCGTGCGGAGCATCGCAGAGAACTTGGGGAGGAGCATCGTCTTGCACTCCCGGTTCATGGAGCTACAACACATCCTGCACGAGACGTCTCTGGAGGTGCAGGGTTTTAAAGACGTTCGATGGCTGGCGCGTGGCGATGCGATTCGGAGGCTCGTGGAAGTCCTACCGGCGGCGATAGTGGTGTTGTGGGAGCAAGACAAGAAGGCCTACAAGACAGTCTCGAGTTTCAAGTTCCACTTCTTCCTGTTTTTCCTGGCAGATGTGCTGAAACTGCTCAACGAGCTGAACCTCAAGTTTCAACGGCGCATGGTGAGCAGTAGAGAGGTCCGTGCTGATGTTCATGCACTCGAACGTGTCTGACGTTGGCTTCTTGCCGTGTGCAGGTGGACATCACCCGGGTGGCATCAATGGTCCACAACACGTGCGACAAGCTGAAGCAGCGATACATCGAGCACGGCGTCAACTACGCTGAGGATAGCGAGTTGCTCACCGAGTTCATGGAGAAGCACGGAGCGTTGGACAAGCGGGAGGTGACGGTCGAAGGCATGGATGGGGAGGGAAGTCCCGTTAAACACACTTTCATGCTGCACGAGGACGCCATCAAGGGACAGAAGTCAAAAGGCGACATAGAATCATGCATCACTGTAACCCGCCTGTTTGCGCAGGAAATTGTGAAGCACCTCCTGAAGCGGATGGAGAGCCTAGACACCCTCACCGGAGCGAAGCTTTTCCTGCCTGACGCGTACCCCGAGGGAAGCGCGAAGAGAGACCGCCTCTGCCAAGCCTGGTTCCAGTCTCTCCGCACGCTGTTCAGTGCGGAGAAGTGCGTACTTCCAGGTAATCTGTGCGTCTCTGTTGTGCGTCAATGTTACACGCTTGGTGATATGGTACCGCCACTGACTTATCTCCCCGTTGGCCCCCGCCCCTCTTGTATTTGCAATTGTGCGTGAGCAGGAGTGAGCTGGAAAAAGGCGGGACGAGAACTGGTGCCGTTTACCAAGATGATGGCCTCGCAGTACAAGGACCAGACCTTCCACGCCGGCCTCAAGCACATGTTGCGCAGCGACGACTGGGAGACGAGCTACCCCAACATGGTCCGCATCTGGATCGCCCTCGCCGTGCTGCCGCTGAGCACCGTCGAGTGCGAGCGCGGCTTCTCGAGGCAAAACATCATCAAATCGTGGCTCCGCGGGAATCTGTGCAACACACGCCTGGCGGACCTGATGTCGGTATCGCTCCTGCAGTACGAGCCGAACTGGGAGGACGTGGTGGCTGCTTGGAGGGGGGCAAAGAAGAGGCGCCCTGCTAAGGAAGTGACGACCAAGAACACTCCAGAGAGAGCCCCAAAGCGGAAGGCCGAGAGAGGAACGTCAGCTGCTGCCTCCAATGGAGACGAAGATGATGAGGAGGACGTGGTCAGGCGGAGGACCTCTAAGAAGGGCAAACCACGTGCAGCTGTAGCAGTGTCGGACGACAGTGATGATGACAATGGGCTTGATGTCCGCGCCACGATAGTAGAGTCTGACACTGAGTAGACTAGACTAGAGTAGATGTAATTTGTAGTGTAATAACACCTCACCAGTAGTTACATAATTTTTTATTTGATAGTTCTTTTACCGTAGTATTTAGCTTTAACTTCTGCTAGAGTTGATGCAATGCAACCCAAAAAAAATAAAAATCAGACAAGCCAGTGCTTTAAGATCTGACAGATCAGACAGAGATTTTGGAAAATCCTGATCCACCAGACAGGGCATCACTCAGCCCACTGATGAAGCAGACGGGCCCGAAGGGCCCGTCTGCTCCATCAGGCTGCCTCAGATCCTAGCGACGTCCCTGGCTGGCAGGGAATCTTCCCCACCCTTCGAGAGGGTTCGGAAGAAATGCAGATGCCACGCAGCGTATGCGGCTGTGATTGGGCCGCACGGCAACATCCTCGTCACTCCTGTCACGTTCGATGGTTCTAGACAACTTTGTGCGGTGGGAAACCGAACCGCAGCTGTTTTTGCCTGAAAACCATGCACGATCCCACTTGTTCCATGGTCCGTTGGATTCGCCTTATTGCGGGCTTCAGTTTAGTATGTTTAAAAGTGAATTTCATTTTTTCCTTATTATAGGCGCATGCGCGTATACAGACACCTCAATTAGAAGCGCACCCCCCCAAAAAACACTGTTTTATTATAAACGCAGCGCTTTTATCCGGGGTAATACGGTACAAGGAATTATTTTTCAACCTGCGCTGTCAGAGGTTGCGCTCGTGAGGTTCCAGCCACGGCAGTCCCAAGAAGTCAAACACTGCTCTCTCACTCCCGCATGAAATTGACTTGCCTGCTGCTTTGCCTGGTACCTGTTGGGGGGTGAGGGGTGGGCACAGCATGTCAGTGGGTATCCTGGCAACCGAGTTGACTCATACTAAATCAATTGGGAATGACATGGAAACAATTACAATGGGGGTGATGGGGCAAGGATAGTATGTGTGCAATCCTGTAGGGGATGCGAGGCATCAAGACTGTGGGGTTGCAGTGATGCACACAGCATGTGATGGGATGGGAGGGATGGGATGGGAAGCATGTGACACAGCATATTGCATTGCATTCTTTGGGTGCCTCAGAAACCGTCTCAACTCACAGCATTGCGCAGCACGAGCCCATGGTCGTCCAATCGGTACCCCTTCGCCTCTGCAAACAGCCGCATGCTGGGTGGATGGGGGGCATGCATGGGTGGGTGCGGGACACGTCACAAGTGTGGAAGAGGAGAGAAAAGGGCATGAATGTGCATCGCGCAGCACGAGCCCATGGTCGCCCAGTCGGTACCCCTTTGCCTCTACAAACAGCCGCATGCTGGGTGGGTGGGAGGCAAGGGGGGCATGGGTAACGGGCTTGGATGTCAGAATGTGTTGAGCCACATCCTCTGGATGCTCTTACTCTTATAATGTTTTTTTTTTTTTTTTTTGTTTGTTCTGTAACGATTCATTCGATTCAACCTTGTAACTGCCAACCTGGAGATGCCTGCGTATTGCGCAGCCATCCCCGCCCGTAACAAACAACTTGCAATACTGGCCATCCATTCCGATCTTCCCACCTTCCTTGCTGCCTATTGCTGCCGTCTAACCATCTTAGCCGTCCATTCCAAGCCCCCCACCATCCATCCCACCATCCATCCTACGATCCTCACCGTCGATTGAGCACATCGTTGCCCGTCCACTGTATGAGCCCAAAAGGGTACTGCTCCCATGGATACACCTGCAAGTTTATTAAAACAAAAAGCATATAACACATAACATAAGCACCCTATGGGTACACCACAATCCACATGGTACAAGGCGAAATAAAATCCTATCCCATCCGCAAACCAGCAGTCAGTGGGCAATGCGATCTAGGAATTATGCGATCTAGGAATTATGCGATCTAGGAAATACTGTACCTTGAAGTCAATGCGGTGCCGTTGTTCCCTGCCTGCCTGCTTGCACAGTCCAAAGTAAGTGTCCACGCCCTTGCCCTCACCATGCGGCTGTTGGGGTTTGGAGAGAGGGTCGTAAAGGAGGAAAAATAGGGGGTAGTGATACCAGTGGCGAAGCTCCCTCCAACGCCTGACCTCCCATGCTCCCTACACCTCTCATGCTCGATTAGTGAGAGCGCATCACCTGCTGCGAGTGGTGTGTGCTGACCACCAGATCCGCTGTTAGAAACCCCAGGAGCTTCAGTAGACCCATCAGCCTCTCCAAAGCTGCGTTCCTCCAATACCCACACAACCTCACAACCTCACAACCTCACAACCTCACAACCTTGCAACCTCACAACCTCTCAACCTCACAACCTCACAACCTTGCAACCTCACAACCTCACAACCTCACAACCTTGCAACCTCACAACCTTGCAACCTCGCAACCTCACAATCTCACAATCTCGCAACCTTGCAACCTCGCATCACCTGTTGCGAGTGGTGAGTGCCGACCATCAGGTCCTCTGTCAGGAAGCCCACGAGCTTCAGTCGACCCACCAGCCTGTCCAAGAAGCCGCGGTGGCTGCGATTACATGTGAGGGCGATGTGGAGGGGACACAGCGGGATGAGATCGGAAGGAGAAGGAAAAGGAGGGGACCACGAGGGTCCTCTGTCACCAAGCCCCGATGACTGTGGTGAGATGAGAGGGAGATGTGAGGGTGGGGGCGTGGCGCACAGCAGGATGGGATCGGGAGGAGAAGGAGAAGGGGGGGACCACCAGGGATTCTGTCACCAAGCCCACGTGATTTAGTCAAGAAACCGACTTCTCCAGAAACCCGCAGTGGCTGGAGCGTGGCATAAGCGGGGGATGTGGTGGGGACACAGCGGGATGGGCAGGATACGGAGGGGACCACCATGCCTTCTGTCACCAACCAAGCCCACGTGCTTCAGTCGACCCACCCACCAGCCTCTCCAGCAAGCCGCAGTGGCTGTGGTGAGGTGGAGATGTGAGGGAGGAGTAGAAGTTGCAGGAAGGAAAGGATGCATTGTGGGAGGTGGAGCGGATACACACACACACACACACACACACCTATTCACCTTCTGCGGTACAGACCACATCCACCACACACTCATGCACCTCTACCCGCACACACTCATGCACTCCTACCCGCACACACGCACACACACACCCACACACACACTCCCTCACACACACACACACACAAACACTCACACACCTTGTGCCATCGGGATGTGTGATAATGAAGTCCATGTCGCCTGACGTCGCCTTGCCCCGACAGCACTCCCTGTCAGAAATGATGGGCACAGGCACGTACCCCTCCAGCTCACACCACACCCTCTCCCCTCACACCCACCTGGCACCATCAGGGTGTGTGATGATGAAATCCATGTCGCCTGACGTCGCCTTGCCCCGACAGAACTCCCTGTCAGAAATGATGGGCACATGCACGTACGCCTCCAGCTCACACCACACCCTCTCCCCTCACACCCACCAGGCACCATCGGGGTGTGTGATAATGAAATCCATGTCGCCTGACGTCGCCTTGCCCCGACAGAACTCCTTGTCAGAAATGATGGGCACATGCACGTACGCCTCCAGCTCACACCACACCCTCTCCCCTCACACCCACCTGGCACCATCGGGGTGTGTGATAATGAAGTCCATGTCGCCTGACGTCGCCTTGCCCCGACAGCACTCCCTGTCAGAAATGATGGGCACATGCACGTACGCCTCCAGCTCACACCACACCCTCTCCCCTCACACCCACCTGGCACCATCGGGGTGTGTGATGATGAAATCCATGTCGCCTGACGTCGCCTTGCCCCGGCGATACGACCCGCCACACACGATGGAGATCTGCACACATGCGTGTGAGGGGTATGAGCGGTACGCACAAACATGCGCGTGAGGGGTATGAGCGATACGCACAAACATGCGCGTGAGGGGTATGAGCGGTACGCACAAACATGCGCGTGAGGGGTATGAGCGGTATGCACAAACATGACTAGCCACAAGCAGAACCCCTGGCAGCACTCACCTGGCAGCACTCACCCCCGGCAGCACTCACCCCCGGCAGCACTCACCCCCGGCAGCACTCACCCCTGGCAGCACTCACCCCAGGTAGCACTCACCCCAGGCAGCACCCACCCCTCGCAGCACTCACCCCTGGCTGCACTCACCCCTGGCTGCAGCGCATCTCCTTCCTTCACCACCAGAGCTGCCATCGCCGCCACCTCATCCCTCGGGATTCGCTTGTTCATATCCTCGTGGAACCGCAGCGCGATCCGCTGAGTTGGCGTGAGGCTGGGATCGCCCGCCAGCTGGCGAAGCGAGCGGTGGCCGGCTGAGTAAAATCGGCGGGCGGTGCGAGGCCCCACGCCCCAGACCGTGCCAAAGAGAGCGAGCGTGCGGACCTGAGAGGGAGGCAGAGGGACAGAGAAGGAAGGGAGGGTACGGAGGGAGAGGGAATGCATGAGAGGTGCTGCAGCGATCAGTGGAAGGAAGAATAAACATGGCGGCCTTGCATAGGTGTGCGCAGCATATGCATGATTTCTGAGACGTCTAAAAACAGAAGTAGCCGTGGCAGTCGTCCGTGGGGACGAGGGCCTGTGGGTCGCAATGGCAGCAGTGGGGGCAGGCAGGGAGCAATGATCCTGCCTGCCTGTCTCACTCACTCCTCCCCTCCTCTCCCAATCATTTCGTCTCATACATTCACCTCACCATGTCGTCGGCTTGATACGCCCGCAGCTTCTTGATCATGCTGTAAGACAGTATCTCCTGAATCTGCCACGTGGGTGGCAGCATGCATGCACGTGGGCAGCACCATGCACACATGGACACATGCAAAGAACAGGCTTAGAAAAAACGCGGCATTCAGGAAACACGAAAAGTCAACGGGATTTAAACAGGCGTTTGTCTCCCACAACCAGTATCACCATCCCCCTCCCCCCACGTCTTCAAACAAGGGAGCAAAGATTACACCTTCCCTCTCTCTCCCTTGCCCTACAAGTCCCCCCTCTATCCCCGTTACCCAACTTCTTCTCGCTCCCTTTGTGCTACACATCTCACCATCCATCCCCACAACCCAACTCCCTCGCCACTCTCCTTGCTGGGCAGTCACAGCCCGATGCCAGGCAGCTTCAGCACCAGGAGTCGCCCTGCAATTCCCTCCTGGTAACCAGCTTTCACTCACCTTACCCTGCAGTGAAGACCCTATGCTGGGCAGCCCCTGCACCTGCTGGGCTGAGCGGATGCGGAAGGGCAGCTTCTCAAGCACACTGAGCGCCTTGTAGTAACTGAACCAGCGCCACTCATCGCCCAGGCCTGGGGGAGCAAATGGGGGGAGAGGGAAGACGGAAGAGGGGGAAGCGGGGAAAGAGGGAGGGGAGTGGAAAGAGGGCGGCTTCTCAAGCACGCTGAGCGCGTTGTAGTAACTGAACCAGCGCCACTCATCGCCCAGGCCTGGGAGGTGTGACGGGCGTGGGGAAAGCAGGGGAAAAGGGTGGAAGAGGTGCGATGAGAACAGAAGGGCAGCTTCTCAAGCACGCTGAGGGCCTTGTTGCAGCTGAACCACTGCCACTCACCGCCCAGTCCTGGGGGGGGGGGGGGAAATAGAGGGGACTGTTCCGGATGTGGATTGAAGGGCAGCGCCTTGAGCGCAAAAAAGGGGGAGTAGAGCCACCACCCCTTGTAGATACATGATACATCCCACCGCCCCTTGTAGATACATGATACATCCCACCGCCCCTTGTAGATAAATGATACATCCCACCGCCCCTTGTAGATACATGATACATCCCCCAGCGGAAGCACACCCCGCCATGCCAATCCCACCACGCAACACACCCCTTTTCACCGCGCTGCACCACACCGAACCATCCTTGTAGATGTTGTTCAGCTCATTCATCTACCCATAGATGTCTCTATTCAGGTCGGGAGGCAGGTACAGCCCCCAGCAGAAACACACTCCGCCATACCCATTCCACCGCACACCACACCCCTTTGCACCGCTCCGTACCGTCCTTGTAGATGTTCTTGAGCTCGTTCATCTGCCGGCAAATCTCCTTATTCAGGTCAGGCGGCAGGTACAGGCCTCGGCAGAAACACCCGCGCCCTCGCAATCGCTCCCATCCCAATGCCCTTTGATTCTTTGGGACTGAGGCAACCCCAGGAACTGAAGCGACCCCTGAGACTTGCGATTCTTGATGCGAGGCATGGCATGAGGCCTGATGCGAGACCTGTTGTGAATCAAGCTGTGAGTACTGACACGTTTGTGAGGCTTGCTGTGAGTCTCTTTGTGAGTCATTTTGTGAGACCTGCTGTGAGTTCTGATGCGCTTGTGAGTCCCCACACGGCTCAATCAGCTCAGACTGCGACCCATCTCGTTGCCCCTGCGAGCCCGCACTCTCATAGCTGCACGGGAATCCCTGCAAGTCCTTACATGTGCCCTCATAGCTGTCAGACTGCTGTGTCTCCCCCTCTCTGCTTCCCCACTCCCTCCCCACCCTGCTTTCCCTCTCCCTCCGCTCTCTGCTTCCCCTCTCTCTCCCCTCCCTGCTGCTCCCCTCCTCTCGTTCCTCCCTGCCTATCCTGTCATCCTCTGCGTTTTCACCTGACTCCCCTTCCGTCAGACCCTCCCTCCCCCTCTGCACTGCTTCCCCACGCCCCTTCTCCGCCTCATTCTCTCTCCTGTCCTCTTTCTCATCCTCTCTCTCCCCCCCCGCCACGCAAAGCCCCTGGGTGTGACCCAGCACCTCCTCACCCTCCCTCGCACCCTCCCTCCTCCCCTGCGCCACCTCCTCCCTCCGACCCTCTTTCTCATCCTCTCTCTCCCCCCCCGCCACGCACAGCCCCTGGGTGTGACCCAGCACCTCCCCCCCCTCCCGCACCAGCTGAATCACCCGCCCAGACAGACCCATGCCCCCCACCCCATCAATCTCCTCATCTCCGCCTCCCCCCTTGCCTCTCTTTCCCCCCTTCTCCCCTTTTTCCCCCGCCTTCCACCGTTTCCATTCCGCCCCAAACCTGTCTGTACCACTCACGTACCTCCGCTTCCCCCCTCCCCCTCCCCATCTCCCACCCCCTCTGCCTCCTCCCCCCCATCCCCTCTTCCCCCCATAGCCTCCCCCACTCCCCCCCTCGCGCCCGTCCCCTTCCTCCTCCCCCACAAGTGCCGCCCAGGCTGCACTCTCAACTATCACCTCCATCCAAAACGCCTTCTCCTCCTCAGAAAGCTCCAAACCCTGCCGCCCACCTTTGACGGCAGCACGACCCGCCGCCCCATTTCCGTCCTCCTCATCACTCCCCTCGTCCTCCTTCCCTCCTATCCTCCCCTCCGGCAACTGCTGGGCCAAGGTCAACCCCGACCCTCCCCCAATCCTTTCCTCGTCCTTCCATTCCTTCTGCCCCCCACCACTCCCCCAACCTCCCTCATCTCTCTCCGCGCTTTCTTCAGCATCCACGTGGCCACTCCTTATTCGATCAGGAAACCCCCGGCTATCCCGGCTGGCAGGAAAATCAGACTCAAAGGAGCTAACTCCCCCAACGCATGCTTCTCCGCCCTGCTGTGACTGTCGGCCAGGTGAGGCGTTGTGTGAGGCGCGGAGCAAGAACTTGGCTTCGGGAAGGCGCGACCCGTGCTTGAGACAGCTCTCTATCCATGCGAACTCCACCACTGTCACCTGCTGGTGGCATGTTGCGGAAGAAGCACATGCACGGGGAAACAGGAAAATGAGGGCTTTTGAGTTGACTCAGAGAAAAAAACGCGCAATCCCTGCTTAAGACGGCTCTCTATCCATTAAAACTCCACCTCTGTCACCTGGTGGTGACAGGCCGAGGGAGCAGCGAACATAAGAGAAATGAACGGCAAAAACAGGGTGAATCAGCAATGTGTTCTGGGGGACAATGAACAAGAGCGAGTCCTCTTCTCACAATGAGTCAGAGTTCTAAAGGCGACGGGCCATTCAACCTCCACTTAACCCCAGAGCTACACCTTGGTGTACAGTCACTCACATTCCACTCATTCCCAAAGTAACACCTCGGGATTAGCGCTGGATAAAAGTCCAATCACTCACCCCTGGTGGTGGGGTTTGCCACGTGGTGGCTTGCTGCACTTTCCGCCAATCAGCAGCCAGCACGTGCGTGACACGTGGCTCCGTGGGGCTTGCTAGGAATTCCCCCCCTAATTGCACAAGCTTCCGCTTCCACACCTGGCGGAGGGATCCCGAAGCAGGGGAGTAGAGGGGTTAGACGGAAATGACGGGTGGAGGATGGAGAGAGAGAGGGGGGGGAAGGGGAAACGATATGAGAAAGAGGGGTTTCTCGTATATGTTGTCGTTACTAAAGTTCTTATGCTATGAGAAAATTTATGCAAACGCCAGATATAAAAAAACGGTCTGGCTCCGTGCAAGCGTTAACAACTGAATCGATCTTTGATTCTGAATCTTAGCTGCGCACTCCGTTTCATCTCCCAGCCAGGGTTTCTTTTGGGTAAACGAGTCAAGCGAATCAGGTTTGTGAACATAGGATTAGAATCTGGAAAATGCCAACGGCCCAAGCGTGCAACAGCTTTGTCACCTGGATCCGCGCTTTGTGCACTCCGCCCTCTATGAAGCACGCATGCACGCCCTGAAACATGAGACTGCAAACACGAGGCGGACCGACGTAGCGAGGGTCAACGCAGGCTCTACGGGTTACAAACTCGCGACGATGAATTCGATTGAAGCTGAAGCTGTGAAGCTTGGAGAAGGTCAGTGAAGCTGTGGATGATGTGAGAGCAGGAACGCAGGATTTGGATAGGTTGTTATTATTGGAAAGGAATTGCTGATGTTGCGTCATTGTGACGAGGAAAACAAACCCTTTGCAAACTAACCCCTTACCAGCACTTCCGCACGCAGTGCCCAGTAAAATCTACAAATCGATGCTGGTTCGAGCTCTTGGGTAAGGGGGGAAATGAACTTACAACGGGAGTATACTGTAACTGAATGTAAACATACTTTTCCTTTTCCTGAATTATATAAGCAGTAATTTTATCGTCGTGCAATGTCGGCTGATGCTGAACATCTTTCCCATGAGGATGGTCTTGGATCAAGCCTCCACGTTGTAGGGTGTAGACGAAAGCATGCCCGAGTGTTATTGGGTGCAAACCTGACACCAAACTGCCTAGGGTAATATCATTCGGATGGCACGAAGAGCTCAACTCTGATATTATTTGTCAGGCGGTGGGCTCGCCATGTCAGCTTTCCTGCCTGGGTGGTCCATGTGGCAAATGGTTTCCACGTCATTGCTATTCTGCCCTGAACCTCTCCACGTCCTCAGATCCTCATTCACCTATCCCACCATTCTAGCCCATCATCTCTCGCCGGCTCTTCCACCACTCCTTCGCCAATACCCCCAGCTTCCACCATCTCCTGTCAATTGACCTCATCGCATTTCATCATCGGTTCGTGCGGTCTTTCACTCACAGCTCCAGACCTTTCTTCCCTGTCCCAGTTTTTCTACTTTTCTAACCAACCATGGCCTCCCTCGCCTTCGTTGTTGCCCCCACCGCTCCTTGCGGTCTGAGGCGGTCAGCTGCCTTCTCTCAGTCCGTGAAGAGCGCCGTGACCGTGCGCGCTACTCCTGCCCGGTCGTTGAAGGTGTTCGCTAGCTCGCAACCTGAGCTGGACAAGGTCATTGAGGAGAAGATTCAGGCGGCCAAGGACGTCTGCGCAGACCCGAACTCGGGAGCTGCGGAGTGTGCTGTTGCGTGGGACGAGGTTGAGGAGATCTCTGCCGCTATTTCGCACAAGGAGGCCCAGAAGTCTTCCGACCCCCTTGAGCAGTACTGCGACGAGAACCCTGATGCTGACGAGTGCCGCATCTACTCCGACTAAATGTATTTAAATTGAGTACGGGTTTCCCTGTGTTTATTGACTATAGTGGAACAACCTTCGCAATATCTCTTTCCATCCCGCACTTCTCTCACTAAGTCTTGACATCGATAGGTGGCAGTTACACTTAATCTTGTGGCAGTTTTGACATGGCTAGATGTCAGCTACATATCGAAACACGACTGCTGCGTCGACGCCTACAGGTGGACTATACTTTCGAAAGAAGCAGGGAAAATATAATGAAATATGTACAAAATTCACAATATTCACAACCACATTGCTACCGTCATTCGTAGCGGAAGCGGAACTAATTACAGCAAATGAACATGTTACAATGTACACTATTTACGGCACAGTGCCCACCTCTGATACTTCACAAGGAGGCCATCTGTTGGATGTACTGACTGGAGTCGGCCCTCAACAAAGATCGTATATGCATCTGCAACATACCTGGTGAGTACGGTAGTGTCAGACAAAATTGAGAAAGTCGGTGAATCAAATCAGGTAACTCAACCCACATACGTACCTGCCAACTCCTGGGAGGTCAGTTATCTGAGCCCAGTTTCCTGATGAGAATTCTCGGGTGAAAATAAGTAAGTGCTTAGCCCAGTTCTCATGAAAGCCTGCACTGCATACGATTTGTTGCAGTGTTTGGATGTCAGAAGATAAGACGTCATTTGCTGAGGGAAGATTCTGAAACAACCTCCTTACTCCAAGCCGCACCTGCCATGATATGCCACAATATTAGTTGCGCCTATGACATTGACCAAAACGGACTGACAAACGCAGAACATACCATGTGAGAAGGATGACCTTCCAGAAGCATCGACGCGACCAAGAGCTTCCAGGGATCATGAGTGAGTCCCTCTTGGATAAGGTTGTAAGGAGAAGCACTGGGATTTTCCGGATTCCTAACCGTTCCACGTGGAAGCTTCATGTGACGACGAAGTGCAAGGTCAGAGGTTGTGTTGTTCTCCTCCTTCCCTGCTTTAGGTGGAGACTCATCAGAGCCAGGACTTGCTTGGCAGCGCCCTTCAGAACAGTCACTAGACGAACTAGATGTCTTGAAAGAGGACCTTGACCCAGCTATCTCAGGTACGCACAGTCTCAATGCTGCCGCGACAGCAGCTGCAACTTTCTTGTCTGAATGCATCCTGTCATGAGTACCCAGAGCAGCGAGTCTGCTGGCTGAAGGACCAGCAGATACACTGTACAGCTCTGCTTGCAACATGTGCGGTGTCCCAGGACTTGTTGATGCCTTGCTGTCTTCGAAACGCCGCATCTGTACATCTTTTGAGAAAGACGAAGTCGCATCATCCTCCTTGCTGCTACCAGGTCGAAGTGTCTCCAGCTTCTCAATGGAGACTTCGCTTGTACAATGCTCATCAGATTCCAAACCAGCAGCTGATACACTCATTCTATGTCCATTAATTACAGGAGGCTCAGCTGCTGTTCGCGGAAGAACACATGGGCTGACTGCCTTGCATGGGGAAGATGGCTCAATTAGCGGGCTGAAATTAATGCCCGAATCACCCCTTGATGGAATGCCTTTGCGAGAAAGCTTTCGCCGAACTGGAGTGTGTGGAACAGACGCCGAGCGAGGGGAGATTGAATCTTGCAGTCTTCCAACAGAAAATAAGCGCTCATTAGCAGGTGAATTGCTCACATCTTCCCCCATGGCATATTGAAATGCGTCTGCTGACCCGGAAAGCCTCAGTCCTGGCTTCGGTTGCCCACCCTTAAGTCCGATGTTTGAACGGCAACCCAGAGTGCTATCCTGCATCTGGTATGTAAAGCTCCTGGACCCACGAATCCCAGGAAATGGCAAATGGCTGTCATGCAGGAACGTTGGTTGCTGCTCCTCATCAACAGAGTATCTAGGCAGCTTGTGCCTAGTTGGAAGTTCCAAGTTCTCTTCAACTTGATGTGGCACAGCATGCACATCCTGCAGATAAAGGAAAAAGGATATGAGATGCTGTGATAAAAAAATCAAAACGACAGACATATCATGAAGTCAAGTCGTACTGTCTCTTTTTCTCTTCGAGCAAAGGCTTGTGAATGGCACTCTTGAAGAACGTCCTTGGATCTAGCTGCTGAAGAGTCGCGCTTGAAAGCCGACCTGCTCTTCCGAGGGGTCCAAGGCAGCTCAGTAGGAGATACGTGTTCGTCTTTCTCCTCAGAACTATTAATGGCTGGTTGATCATCCGATGCAGGGAGTCTCGGATCTTGAGAGGTCACAGAGTTTTGCTGCTGTGGAGGCGTTGGCACATCACTTGAATCCGATGGCGTATGGGAATGCGAATCCTCCTCCTCCTCTTCCTGAAGTGAGAAATAATGTATTAGGTTAGTATGATAGCCGAATCAAGGGGTGCCTCGAACGCATCCAGAAATAGCACCAAAGGCACAACCTTCTTTAGGATAGCGCACAGGCCTAGAGCGCCTTCATATGCTTCATCATCTTGAGGAATGCCTGCCAGCGAAAAAAAAGAGTCAATGAGAACGTGGATTAAAAAACAATAAGACGGTCAAGTCTCACCATCACCCACTTGATGAAGCTCTTCCGATGTGAGACACCCCAGGAGTAGAGTCGTCATCGGCATGCGAGGAGCCACTAATGTGAAGGTCTTCAATTCCCTTACCAAACTCGAATCCACTGGTTCCCTCCCTGCACGACACGGCAAGAAAGACTCGGTTACATCACCTACGGCAAGTCCGACCATGCGCGGGAACTGCAAGCACAGTTGAGACAAATGAGAAATAACCTGTGCTGGTTTTTTCCTCGTCTCTGCCTTCCGTCCTTGCTTCTTCTCTGAACACATTTGTTGCAAGGACACACATCATCACACCTGGCCACAACGAATACAGGAAAGAAGCATTACGTCATAGGCTAGGAGGCAATACTAAGCTAATCAAACATGGTGGATCCCGCGGAGCCCAAAGCAACGAGGCATAGTGAGTTTTTCTGGATATGTAAATTTACCTTGGACATCGCCAAGTCCCCCTTTTGGCTGCCATAGATGCTGCTGCTATAAACGACAGATTTTTGTGGAGCTTTGTGAGGATGCACCTATGGCACCACGGCCCATGTTTAGCTCCACCTTCACCTTGCGACGCTCCACATGGAATTAGCTCAGCGGTTGGTCTCTTTTGCCGGCAACAATGACAATGCTTTCCCAGGCCCCTGGGAGCAGCATGCCTCACCATTTCTACCTATCTTATCGTATTTCTACAAAAAGGCACGTGAAACGTGGCTAACGCAAATGACGGAGCCTGGAATTCGAGAAGTAAGTGAACGCATTACTATCACACTGATGCTCGGCAACGTCCCAATAACGGTAAGTGTCTATCGAATCAGCCAGTCCACACTGGAAACATGGAACCTAACCAGCTCTGAACACCCTGGTTAAAGGGTGTGCCTGGTCCATAGATCAGGCTGACCATTGAACTGGATAAAGAAGCCCACCCACAACACTCCTCCAGCACCTGCTGAAAGAGCAAACCAGGGCTTCATGAGCAAGAGCCATGTGTCGTCCTTCCGACGATGGAGAAAGCCAGCAACCGCCTTCGTTTCCGTCCGTGCGCTAGACCATCGTCTCGAGAAAATTCCTCACTGACCTCTTCCTGAACCGAGTGCAAACATCGGGGTGGCTCAAACAGCTGGCTATGGCCAAAACCTGGGTTTGGTCTGCCTTCATCAGCCTCGGAGAGCACGTGGCCCGCCTTGGTGGCTTTGGTTGTGCTGGGCTGCCCGTCGAGGAAAATATACCTGTGTTGAGCTAATTTGAGATATGACATTGGTTCGAGTTAGTGAAATTCTTTCAGTCTCTTTGAAACCATACCTCTTTTTGAAGCTGGGATCCCTGCTTCGGCAGTAATCTAGACCAATCTGAGAAGTTTAAAACCTCAAGGCCTGGAAAACAACACCCAATCAAATAGCCTCTCTGGTATGGCAGTGGCATGAGGCTGGCGAAGCTGAAACGGTGAGGAGAATTTGGCCTCAACCTCGCCCATCCGAGCCGAGTTCTCCGCTTTGGCATGTCGGCCCAAGCAGACAGGTCTGATGCGTGTGAACGAGCTTCGCCACGTCAGTGAAAGGCTTTTCTTGTGTGAGGTGACGTCAAGGCATGGCGGACCTGCCTCTCTGACTGGCCAGCAGTATGTTGATCTGCCTGAAAGTGTCACCATCGTTTTTGGAACATCCACCAACTTTCACCCTCCATGGTATGGATGCTAGAACAGCATTCCGTTCATGTATATATATGGGATGTATATGGCATGTATGAACAGACATGGAATTCAAGCAACACAAAGCTGAGCTGCCTCCGTGCTGTGGCCTCACTAAATATCCTCACATACGCAGTAGTCAGAGTCGGCTAGGTTTCCCCTTTTTGGTATCGTGAGCGTCACTTTCGTCTAGTGCGTATCTTTCTCTCAGTCCATTCCCTTCATGACCAAACCTTGACGGAACGCGAAGTGCGTCGTTGCATTTCTTGGTCAGGCACATAACGACTCCTAATGTTGTTTCATGCTAGAACTCAGCTAATTCAAGTGAAACCATTTTTCGAGAGATCGCTCAATCTGAAGACTGGATTGCGATCACTGGGCGTTGCAGTGGCACCTAAGTTGCCCGCATTTGGCTCACTCGATCAATTCGCGTGCATGTCATTCCGTGGTTCCATAGCTCCGAATGTCGACGATTCATCTCTTCAAGCCCCGTCAGGGGGCATGCTCCATGAGTCCAACGCGGACCGAACGAGGCTTTCGGGGGTTGGCGGAGGCTGTATTCAACAGCAAATGGGTGGCTTTCAGCAGAAGCTGGATACTGAAGGGGGTGTCATCGAGAGCAATGGTCGTGGTGGCAGCAGGAGAGTGGCTGTGGCGCAAATGACAGCTGTTGGTGATGTTGAGAAGAACTACGTTACGTGCAAATTGCTTGTGGAGGTAGGCCTCAACAAGCAATTTGGGGAAGCCACAAGTGCGCATCGTTATCATGATAATCTTGCACTTACTGCTCTGCTCTTGGTCTTGCTCTATTCTGCTCTGAATCTCACGCCAGCAAGCAGCTGCAGCTGGTGCAACCCTCCTGTGCCTCCCTGAGTGCTTTTCCTTCATTGGTGAACGGGATGGTGAAGCTGCTGCAGTTGCTGAGCCACTAGATGGTCCACTCATGAGCAAGTACTGCCAACTGGCACGGTAGGTTTGATACCACGACAACGTTGAATACGTTTCAAAACCAGGATCAACATCAGATGCGAGCAATCACCCTTCTGGACAAGCAAGCATGATGTGCGATCATATCTTATGCCTACGCCGGCCATATGCCGTCTTTTTTGTGGCTTGCAGAAAATTCTCTATCTGGCTATCTTTGGGAGGATTCCAGGAGGCAGGAGATCCTGACGCAGGCAGACGTTTCTTCAACACTCACGTGCTTGTGGATGACACAGGGAGGATTCAAGCAGCTTACAGAAAGATTCACCTGTAATGAAACCCTCGTTATCTTTTGGCGGTTCTGATTACCCAGTTTTTCTCAGCTTCATTCTTTGCACGTGTACCCCCCTAACATAACACTATGCTGCTGAACCAGGTTCGATGTGAATGTTCCAGGGGGACCAGTCCTGACGGAGAGCAACAGCACACTACCGGGATCAAGCGTTGTCTCTGCTATGTCTCCTGTTGGCAGACTTGGTTTAACCGTTTGCTATGATTTACGCTTTCCGGAGCTCTATCAGCGGCTCCGGTTCGATCATCATTGTGATGTAAGTCCAAATAATCAAGCAGTTGGCTTATGTGGTAAGGAGAATATCAGTGAGAAGTGTGAGTTGTTTG